ACAGCAGGGATTTTAACCCTGGCCTCTTAGTCTCCAAGGTATATCGTCTTACTGCATTGCCTCTCTGTACACAGTTCATCAAGGTTAAACATTTTAAGAATGTTCTGGGCCAGGTGTGGTGGCTCACGTCTGCAATCCAAGTGCTTTGGGAGGCTGCCGAGGCAGGAGGATCACTTGAGCCCAGGACTCAGAGTGTAGGGAGCTATGGTCGCACCACTGCACTCCAACCTGAGTGGCAGAGTGAGACCCCTATCTCTTAAAAAAAAGACAAAAAAAGATATTCTGAATAATCTCTGTTTAAAAGACCTTAAATTACTTTAACAAAAGTCAGATTTCTGTTCTGATACATTCCACAAGTGAAATACACGGTACATAAAGGATAAGTTTCTGACCATTTCATGTACCAGGAAAGAATCAAGTAATGACATGTTATTCAATAAGACTAGAACTTATATTAAGATTTTCTTTATTAATGTATTTTCTTTTTTCTTTTTGGAGACTGAGTCTCACTCTATTCCCCAGGCTGGAGTGCAGTGGCATGATCTTTGCTCACTGCAACCTCTGCCTCCCGGGTTCAAACGATTCTCATGCCTCAGCCTCCCGAGTAGCTGGGATTACAGGCATGTGCCACCATGCCTGACTAATTTTTGTATTTTCAGTAGAGACGGGGTTTTACCATTTTGGACAGGCTGGTCTCAAACTCCTGACCTCAAGTGATTCGCCTGCCTCAGCTTCGCAAAGTCCTGGGATTACAGGTACGAGCCACCGCGCCTGGCCTATTTTCTAGAAGAAAGAGAATGAAGAAAGGTGAACTGTCTTAATAATTGACTTCAGTCATCATTTAGCAGCCACAGTGGGTCCTTTGTGATTACATATATACATATATATATATATATATATGTAGAGACATATATATATAGAGAGAGACATATATATATATAGAGAGAGAGTACATATTTGCGATCTTAAAGGAATTCACAAATCTTAGTTCTACAGGTACTGAACATGAAAAATTATGAGATTTATATGAGGAAATTTGAAAACATAACAAAGCTGCTGAAAATAAGAGTGGATAGATCAGAGCTGAAAGAGATTAACAGACATACTGGTGTAGTCATTATTGAGAAACTAACATAGTTGCTCCCAGGAGGTGAGATCCATTACATATTGTGGCACAGACAGCTAAATGCCTAATCTGATTTCCATTCTACACTTCCTCCTTACTAACAGAACCCTGATTCTTACGTGGGCACATTGCTGACCAAAATATAAGATTATTTTATAACCTTTCCTATAATTAGTGTGGCCGTACTGCTAACTTCAATGCTGATAAGATGTAAGTAGATGTATGTGAACTTCCAGAAAGCCACAACACAAGGATGCAGGCATACCTTTCTGTCACTGCTGTCCTGGAACTTGAGAATCATCTTGGATTGTGAAGTGACATGGTCCAGTTGGCAGAGCAGTGCCATCGTCCTTCCAGGGAGGAAGCTGAGTCTCTGGTGGACATGGAGAACTATAATAGCCCTGCACAGAGGTGAAAATATGTGATACCTTTTCTCATTCATCATAAGGTTTGTGGCTGACACTCCTATAACAAAAGACAAACAAGAGAAAGGCGCAAAAAATTTATTTAATCAAAGTTTTTCTGTGACATGGAAGGCTTCAGAAATGAAAACCAAAGATCCAGAGAAAACTGTCTATTTTTACGTGTAGGTTCAATGATAAATGGACTGCCATGTAGAAATGTGATTGGACAAAAAGGGAATGATCTAGTGGTGATAGATTGAGCAGGGAAACCCAGCAAGGCCTATGTGTTCAGATTCTCCTGGGTTTCTGCATGGCTCTCTGCGTGGCATGCCTTTGTCTTGAGTATAGGACAGCACCCCTCTGGAATGAGGGTCGTATGACCTACTATCAGACAGTGTAGGTCAGAGAATATTTTTATGGCCAGCTTCTACACAGAAAGGCAAGGGAAAGTTAGAATAGCGCTTCTACATTTTATGGCTGACTTTGGAGGAGAGGGATTCTTAGGAAAAAAATTCTGATGGGCCTGATTTGGGTTTTATGCCCAATCTTTGAGCCATTTGAGGGTTAGCATTATAATTTGTCCAGTTGTGGGCCGGGTGTTGTGGCTCATGCTGATAATCCTAGCACTTGATGAGGCCAAGGTGGGAGAATCACTTGAGGTCAGGAGTTTTAGACCAACCTGGGCAACATAGTAAGACCCTGTGTTTACAAAAAAAATCGAGGTGGCCACTACAGGTGTCACCTGTATGTGTGTGTGTGTGTGTGTGTGTGCCTGTGTGTGTGTATATATATATATTATATATATATATATGGTCAGGGGTAAGGAGGGGATGTTGTTTGAGCCAGGAGTTCAAGGCTACAGTAAGCCAGCAATAATCACGACACTGTACTCTAGCCTGGGTGATAGAGCAAGGCCTTGTCTTAGAAGAAAAGAAAAAAAAAAAAACCAGGATTTTTTTTCTTCCCATTAGCTTAAAACAACACCAATTTATTATGTTCTTCTACAGCTGAGCTGGGGTTTAGCTGATCTGGGTTTGACTTAGCTGGGCAGCTCTGCATCTCACTGCAGGGCTGCAGGTTGGCTGAATCAGCTTTGCCCTCCATGTCTCATTCTTCTTGAACAAGTACGATACCGAGGCCTATTCTTCTTGTGACAATAGCAGAAGCACAAGAGATTGAGAGGAAGCACTCAAGGGTTTTTAACACCTAGACCTGGAACTGGGCACATTGTCATGATGTCTGCATGCCATTGGCCAAAATGAGTCACATATCGTTATGGAATCTTTGGGGTGTCACTTTTCTCAGCAGAAACCTCTCTGGCCAGTGATGCCTTTGCCTCAGTTTGCTCAGGCCGGCTGGGCTCATTCCACTCACTTGGCCTAGGTAGGCTGCTCTTGGCTCATGCTACTGGCCTGAATCCCATGCCTGCCAAGGGAGACTGCATGGAGCGGTGAAGGGTGTGTGGGCAAGTATGGTGTCTGATCACTGCATAGTCAGACATGCCCCTGCTGCAGTGGGCAGGGGCAGCACAGGTGCTGGCACCCTGCAAGGCTGTGGCTGGACCAGGTGCACCACAAGCAGCTTCCACAGCTGGCACTGGGTAACATGGTGGCACTCAGAAGCTTGAAGATGCCAGAAACTTCAGGGCCCCAAAGACAGAATCACTGTCCTGGATCGGGGGGCTCCCAAGTCTGGGCTCCCCAAAGGGCTACAGCTTATCTTTCCTTCTCTTTGCCCACAACATTTTGAACAAGGAGCATGTCTCCGTCCTGTTTGTGTTACAACTCTTAGCCTCATTTGGCAGGTCCCAAGTTCTTGTCCTGCACCCAGGAAGAATGAGGTATGCAGACAAGTGGAGGGTAAATAAGACGAAGAGGAGTTCTATTGAGTGACAATAGCTCAGAGGAGACCCTGGAGTGGGTAGCTCCTGTCTGCAGCTAGTCATCCTAATGTCTGCTGCTCTCAGCAGAGAGGAAGCCCTGGAGTGGGTAGCTCCTCTCTGCAGCTGGCTGTCCTGATGTCTGCCTCCTGCTGCTGTTCATGGCACCCAGGCTGTAGGAGCCAAAGGGTGCATTCAGGCCAGTGCCAAGCTGCTTTCAGCTTCTCCCCACTTCAGCTTCCCTCCTATGCTTGTCAGCACCCAAAATCTGAAGGGGGCTAAGGCAGCAAGGGGCTGGTGTGCCAACATTGCCCTGAGAGTGTGGACACCCAGCCTGACTGTGTCAGCACCTGGGTTTGGCCCTGACTTTGTTCAGAGATCAGAGCAGGCACTGACAACAGGGAGAAGCCAGGCAGTGGGAGCAGGCATTTCTGAGCCTGTGAGGGCAAGGGTGGCCTTCCAGGGCCCCCAAGAGTGCAGGGATGCCTGGGTCCACAGACCGCTTGGGTGGTTGCAGCTGCACCGGGGAGAGTGGGGCTCCTTCCTGCTCCGTGGAACAGGAGGCCTGGGTCTGCAGCCACGGTTTGGACAGATGCAGCTGTGCCCAGGAGGGTGGGGCTCCTGCCTAGTCCCCAAGCCCCAAGAGCACAGGGAAGCCCAGGTCCATAGCTGTGGCTTGGGTGGTGACAGTCGCACCCAGGAAGCTTCTGCCCCAGCTTGGAAGAGTTGGGTCTCCCATTTGTCCTCAGCTCTCACCAGCTTTATGGAGCATGCAGCCCCAGCTGTGCCTCCTTGCTGCAGCTGGTGTGATGGCAGCAGCTGCTCCAGATGGCCTACTGCTGCCATCAATATGTAGTAGATTCAACATGACCATAAATCAATTTCAGTTCCCTCCATCAAGAGGTAGAGTTTTCTCCCCCTGCACGTATTCCTTGCCCCTTGAATATGAGCTTGTGACTTGCTTTGACCAATAGAATGAAGTACAAGTGAAATTTATGGCTTGTAAACCATAGTCTAAAAAGGCCTTTGCAGTCCGGTTCACACCCTCTTGGAATGCTACAGCCAAGACAGAAGGATGAGGAAGTCCTGCTCAGGTTAACCTCTTTGTGGATGAAAGCCCACATGGAGAGAGGCCCAAGCATCCCAATTTCCTAGCTCAGCTCTCGGTTGATCCAACAGCTAGATGTAACTTCATGAGTTTGCCCAGGTGAGAGCAGCAAAAGAACCCGTATCCAACCTGCAGAATTGTTGCATAGTTGTTTTAAGCCACTAAGTTTGGGGATGGTTTGGGATGCAGCAGTAGATAAAGAATACAATATGGCTAAGCCCGAAATCAAGAGCCAGGTAAGTATACTCTCCATACGACAAGTGTGTGGCTGCATGGAGGGTGAAGGTTTGAGACCAACAATTCTATCCACTATCAGGTATAATATCTGAATTTTAGTTACTTTAATTCTAGATTGATCTTCAGTTGTTAGTGGCTCCTGGCATATTAAATCTGTTTTCTAGCTCCGCAACCCATTCTATCTTTGTGATAGCTTATCTTCAGTTCTTTTCTTCCTTTACTCACATGCTATTTCTCCACGAAAAGGTGAATTCTATTTCTGCACTCTTGAATCCGGGCCGACTGTGACTGCTCTGACAAATAAAATACAGTGAAGTCATCCCTAACCTTTCAGAGGACTGGCAACTTCCACTCCCTGCCTCTTGGAAGTCTGGCACCATGTAAGAAGAACAACCATCCTGACTACTCTGCTATGAGAAAGCAAGTTTTTGGCAACCTTATTAAAGACAAATGATTGCTTACCCATATGTGTGGAGTCCTCATTAGAGAAAAGGAGTTAGGTTGGTGGGACTGAGGGAAAGCAAAAAGAGAAAGCAGATAAGCTATAAGCCTGCCTTTCTTCATGGTCCGGGACACCTAGCCCTTCTGCACAAATAGCTCACAATCTTCCTGCACCCAGCTATCAGAAGATACCTGCAAGTTAGCTCACTGCAACCCTGGCATTGTCTGCGCAAAGCCCTCTTCAGCATACAGCATAAACACTCGTCTATAAACTCTCCAGCAAGCCTTTATTTCCTGACAGTCAGCAATTCTTCTGCTGATTCTACCAGTTGCTCCCTGGCAACATATTTTTATACTTTCTCTAATAAATCTGCCTTTCTTTATCTACAACTGCCTTGGTAAATTATTTTATCCGCACGCCACTGGTCCAGATAGTCGTTGCTCACCCACGACATTATGTTTAGTGAAGTTCTGTTCTGTGTTTTCATTTTTTTAAATGGTAGATATTATACTTTGTGTATCTGTTCATCAAATGATGGACATTTGGGTTGTTTCCACTTCTTAGCTATTATGAATAATGCTGCTATAAACATTCTTATATAGGTGTTGGTGTGGACACACGATTTCATGATTTTGGATATTTATCTACAAGTGGAATTGCTAGGCCAGATGGTAGCTACTACACATCTTTGCATCCCCTTTCCTAAAAGGATAAACTGGTTTTTTTTTGTTGTTTTTTATTTCTTGTAGAAATGAGGTCTTGCCATCTTGCCCAGGCTGGTATTGAACTCCTGGGCTTAAGCGATCCTGGCATGAGCCACCACACTCGGCCAAGGATATAAACAGGAAACATCCTGCACTAATGTAAACGATGTTGTATATTTATTCCTGGTCTGTTTTCTGACTTTGTCTTCTACTCTCCCCAGGGTGGTTCTGCTCTGGGTCCCTTGACCTCTATAAGAGACAGCTACAGGCTAGGCTCAGTGGCTCACGCCTGTAATTCTAGCACTTTGGGAGGCCGAGGCAGGCATATCACGAAGTCAGGGGTTCAAGACCTGCCTGGCCAACATGATGAAACCCCCGTCTCTACTAAAAATACAAAAATTAGCTGGGTGTGGTGGTGCGTGCCTGTAATCCCAGCTACTTGGGAGGCTGAGGCAGGAGAATCGCTTGAACCAGGGAGTCAGAGGTTGTAGTGAGCTGAGGTTGTGCCACTGCACTCCAGCCTGGAAACAGAGCAAGACTCCATCTCAAAAAAAAAAAAAAAAAAAAAGAGAGAGAGAGTTACAGGGACCATTCTCTTGCTTCACTCAGATCTCTGGTCACTGATAATTGTATTAGAGGGAACTTCCCTGATCATTGCCTAAAACAGCTCCCCTTACCATCTATTCCCTTGCCAATCCCCATCTTCAGAGCACATAGCACCTCAGATATTTACTCATTTTTTAATTTATTTATGTCTGCCTTTCCTCAGACTGGTGGGAGGGGTGAATCTTCATTTTTTAAATTATTGCATCCATAGCACCTAGAGCAGAGCCCAAGTACTCAATATATATTAGTTAGATAAATTAGTGAGTGAGTGAATGAATGAATGAAGAATCTTCGGTTTCCTTGAGTCCTCTTCTGCATTGAGGACTGTCTAGTGGGAAATTATATCCAGCAAACACCATGCAAAGTTGGCCACTATCAGAAAATTCCAAGGGTCATTTGTGGGCCTAGCTGAGTCATGAAAGCAGAAAAGAAAATAGAATTTAAAATTAATCTCACCACTTCTGTTCTCACTTCATGGCATAGTTTCTGTTGCTTTCCTCTTTAGCTACTTAGGGAAAAATTAGGCCTTTTATATCCTTCAATGTTTTCTGTTGTCTACATTAAACAATGTGTGGCAGAGAACAGTGGGGCTGATAAGAAACCTTGGATCCACTGATGCCTTAATTGTCGGTCCAAAAAGAGCTCACCTGATTTTCTCTATGTGAGTGTTTTTAAAAATATACAATTTTTTTGAGACAGGGTCTCACTCTGGCTGGAGTGCAGTGGTGTGATCTCGGCTCACTGCAGCCTCAACCTCCCAAGGTCAAGTGATCCTTCCACCTCAGCTTCCCAAGTATCTGGGACCACTGGTGTGCACCACCATGCCTGGCAAAATTTCATATTTTATGGAGATGTGGTTCTCCATGTTGCCCAGGCTGGTCTCCTAGGCTCAAGCAGTCCGCCTGCCTGGGCCTCCCAAATTGCTGGGGTTACAAGTGTGAGCTATGGCACCTGGCCTTTAAAAATTCTTAATCCCTGGAAGCACATGTCAGCCTGACTTTGCCCACCAGGTTTTCTTCATCTTACCAGAGGTCTCCTTGATATGTTCTTAAAGTCCGTCCTTTCATGTCTCTTTCTTTCTTTGTCATTTGCCCCCACTATTCTCATCTTCTGCCCCTATTCCAATTCAAGGGCTGATTTAGAGAGCTGCAATACTAGCAGATGTCTGTATTTCTGTGTTACTTTCAATTTTCTGCCATGTAGTTTTTGTTTGTTTGTTTGTTTTTTGAGATTGAGTCTCACTCTTGTTGTCTAGGCTGGAGTGCAATGGCACGATCTTGGCTCACTGCAACCTCCACCTCCTGGTTCCAAGCAATTTTCCTGCCTCAGCCTTCCGAGGAGCTGGGGTTACAGGCATACGCCACCACGCCCAGCTAATTTTGTATTTTTAGTAGAGATGGAGTTTCACCACGTTGGTCAGGCTGGTCTTGAACTCCTGACCTCTGGAGATCCGCCCGCCTCAGCCTCCCAAAGTGCCAGGATTACAGGCATGAGCCAACAAGCCTGGCACATATAGTTATTTCTTATCTCAGCTTAGTTATATTGAGCAAATGTTTGTGGACTAGATGTGCAGAACATTTGCTAGGCCTTGGAGATACTGACATTTTAAAACAATTTCTACTTACAGTATTTTGCAATGTTAGCAGTCTCCACTTTACTCCTTTATGTTGTGATTGCAACCTTCTTGCAACTTCTCTATGGGCTTAAAATAGCTTGTACATAGGCAGTGTTCATTAGTGTGGGAAATTAGTTGAACTGAATTGATAACCAATCTAGAATCTGCTTTCGAAATTTTTCCCACTCTGTGTCAATCCAATCTACATCTACCCAGGAGTATCCTGTAAGTAGTGGTGGCAGGTTTTTCTGAGGTGGGCAGTCTATCCAAACCTACCACAAAGTCGGAGGAAGCTGAGAAGTCAAAGAAAGAGGCTGGCAAATCCAATTTCTCAGAAGGAAACATTTAATAGAGACTTATGAACAGAAGCCATGTCTATGTCACCAGAGGCAGTGAAAAAAGATGGCAGATCCCCACACTATTACCTCCTAGGCCCAGGGTTTATATACCAGAGGTGAGGGGCAAGTTGGCTTCAGAGAGAATGGGTAGGAATTTTCCCTGAGGGCAAGATTGATGGTAAGTATTTGCTCTCCCATAAGGGACAGTAGATGAACTGGGCATCTCAGAGGCGTTCCCAGAACTGAGGTTAATCTGAAGTCAACATGGCAGATTACCCTCCAAGATGGAGTTACTTTGACCTCCCATCTAAGATGATGTTGTTTTGGCCTTCACATACTGTTCTGTTTTTGACATTGAAGCTAAGAGGCAATTAGCCCAAGAAAATATTTGTAAATCATATATCTGATAAGGGGCTTGTATTCAGAACACATAAAGAACTTTTGCAACTCAGTAATGAAAAGACCAATAGCTCAATGAAAAAATGGGTGTGCTAGTGGCTGGACTCTGTGGCTCACACCTGTAATCCCAACACTTTAGGGAGGCTGAGGCATCAGGATCACTTGAGCCCAGGAGTTCAAGACCAGCCTGGGCAACACAGTGAGACTCCGTATCCCCCCACCCCAATCACTACCAGAAAAAAACAAAAAATAGCCAGGGGTAGTGGCGCATGCCTGTGGTCGTAGCTACATGGAAGGCTGAAGTGGGAGGATTGCTTGAGCCTGGTAGGTTGAGGCTGCAGTGAGCTGTGATAACGCCATTGCACTCCAGGCTGGGTGACAGTGAGACCATGTTTCTAAAAAAAAAAAATTTTTTTTTTGAGACGGAGTCTCGCTCTGTCACCCAGGCTGGAGTGCAGTGGCGCTATCTCGGCTCACTGTAAGCTCCGCCTCCCAGGTTCATGCCATTCTCCTGCCTCAGCCTCCTGAGTAGCTGGGACTACAGGCACCGGTCACCACGCCCAGCTAACTTTTTTGTATTTTTAGTGGAGACGGGGTTTCACCGTGTTAGCCAGGATGGTCTCAATCTCCTAACCTCGTGATCCACCTGCCTCAGCCTCCCTAAGTGCTGGGATTACAGGCGCGAGCCACTGCACCCAGCCAAAAAAAATTTTTTAATGGGGAAGAATCTGAATAGTTTTCTAAAGAAGATATACGAATTGCCAATAACGTAACAAAAAGATGCAACATCATTAGTCATTAGGGAAATGCAAATAAAAATTACGAGATACCACTTCACACCTAAAAGGATGGCTGTAATTTTTAAAAATGGACATTAACAAATTGTAGTATAATATGAAATACTTTTGGTCTTTGTCCCCAGTTCCTGTCACAGAGGACCTAAAACCTTTGGCATTTTCTATCTGGGTCGGGGCTCCGAGATAGCCTCAGGATGGGACTGGTCGCCAGAAAGACTAAGTGATTAGAGGGTTGAAACTTTCAGCTCTACCCACCAAACGCTGGAAAAGGCGTCAGGGGATTTTATAGCCCATTAGTCAGAAGTGTAGGTGACAACCTACTTGGATTGGTGTTGGAAGTTGGGGGCAATCTTGTGGGACACCCAGTGGTGTTCACTAGAGAAGTTGGTGTGTCAGGAAATACCTTTACATATCCGGTCACAGAAGTGTTCTGTGTTGAGTGTGTGAGTAGAGAGAAAAAACTGTTTTTCCTCTTCACATGAGTGTAGGCAAGGATGTGGAGAAATTCTCATATATTGCTGGTGAGAATACAAAATGGTAAACACTGTGGAAAACAGTTTGGCAATATACAAAACATTAAACATACAGTTATTATTTGACCCACCTGTTCCTAGGTATATAACCAAGAGAAATTAAAATAAATATACAACTCTGTAAAACCATGTACACTTGGCCCTCTACATCCATGAAGTCCACATCCTTGCCTTCAACCATGGATCAAAAATATTTAGGGGAAAAAGATAAAAAATAATATCCTGAAAGCTGATGGGGCATTAAAAATGATGCAGTAAACAGTAATAAAAAATTAAAAATACAATATACAACTATTTACATAGCATTTACATTGTATGAGGTATTATACGTAATCTAGAGATGATTTACAGTAGACCAAAGGATGTGTGTAGTTTATATGCAAATACTAAGGGACTT